GTGGAGTCGGGGTCAGTCCCAGTCAGGTGCTGGTGGAGTCGGGGTCAGTCCCAGTCAGGTGCTGGTGGAGTCGGGGTCAGTCCCAGTCAGGTGCTGGTGGAGTCGGGGTCAGTCCCAGTCAGGTGCTGGTGGAGTCGGGGTCAGTCCCAGTCAGGTGCTGGTGGAGTCGGGGTCAGTCCCAGTCAGGTGCTGGTGGAGTCGGGGTCAGTCCCAGTCAGGTGCTGGTGGAGTCGGGGTCAGTCCCAGTCAGGTGCTGGTGGAGTCGGGGTCAGTCCCAGTCAGGTGCTCGTGGAGTCGGGGTCAGTCCCAGTCAGGGCTCGTGGAGTCGGGGTCAGTCCCAGTCAGGGCTCGTGGAGTCGGGGTCAGTCCCAGTCAGGGCTCGTGCAGTCGGGGTCAGTCCCAGTCAGGGCTCGTGGATTCGGGGTCAGTCCCAGTCAGGGCTCGTGGATTCGGGGTCAGTCCCAGTCAGGTGCTCGTGGAGTCGGGGTCAGTCCCAGTCAGGTGCTGGTGGAGTCGGGGTCAGTCCCAGTCAGGTGCTGGTGGAGTCGGGGTCAGTCCCAGTCAGGTGCTCGTGAAGTCGGGGTCAGTCCCAGTCAGGGCTCGCGGAGTCGGGGTCAGTCCCAGTCAGGGCTCGCGGAGTCGGGGTCAGTCCCAGTCAGGGCTCGCGGAGTCGGGGTCAGTCCCAGTCAGGTGCTCGTGGAGTCGGGGTCAGTCCCAGTCAGGGCTCGTGGAGTCGGGGTCAGTTCCAGTCAGGTGCTCGTGGAGTCGGGGTCAGTCCCAGTCAGGTGCTCGTGGAGTCGGGGTCAGTCCCAGTCAGGGCTCGTGGAGTCGGGGTCAGTCCCAGTCAGGTGCTCGTGGAGTCGGGGTCAGTCCCAGTCAGGTGCTCGTGGAGTCGGGGTCAGTCCCAGTCAGGTGCTCGTGGAGTCGGGGTCAGTCCCAGTCAGGGCTCGTGCAGTCGGGGTCAGTCCCAGTCAGGGCTCGCGGAGTCGGGGTCAGTCCCAGTCAGGGTTCGCGGATTCGGGGTCAGTCCCAGTCAGGGCTCGTGGAGTCGGGGTCAGTCCCAGTCAGGGCTCATGGAGTCGGGGTCAGTCCCAGTCAGGTGCTCGTGGAGTCGGGGTCAGTCCCAGTCAGGGCTCGTGGAGTCGGGGTCAGTCCCAGTCAGGTGCTCGTGGAGTCGGGGTCAGTCCCAGTCAGGGCTCGTGGTCCCAGTCAGGCGCTCGCGGAGTCGGGGTCAGTCCCAGTCAGGCGCTCGCTCGCGGAGTCGGGGTCAGTCCCAGTCAGGCGCTCGCTCGCGGAGTCGGGGTCAGTCCCAGTCAGGGCTCGTGGTCCCAGTCAGGCGCTCGCGGAGTCGGGGTCAGTCCCAGTCAGGCGCTCGCTCGCGGAGTCGGGGTCAGTCCCAGTCAGGCGCTCGCTCGTGGAGTCGGGGTCAGTCCCAGTCAGGGCTCGTGGTCCCAGTCAGGCGCTCGCGGAGTCGGGGTCAGTCCCAGTCAGGCGCTCGCTCGCGGAGTCGGGGTCAGTCCCAGTCAGGCGCTCGCTCGCGGAGTCGGGGTCAGTCCCAGTCAGGGCTCGTGGTCCCAGTCAGGCGCTCGCTCGCGGAGTCGGGGTCAGTCCCAGTCAGGGCTCGCTCGCGGAGTCGGGGTCAGTCCCAGCGGAGAATACATGAGAAACTCATTATTGTTCTGATGCTTGTAATGAGATCTTTATAACAGTACAGTAGATACTTACATAAAATTCATATGAATATCATTCGTCACACTATATCTGCCAATAATATGTTTTAGTAAGATGATATTTAATGATTAGTTTTATGATCAAAGCCCTCTAGTTCAAAACATTTAATGCAATGCAATACAATGATGATTGAGAGATGAACAAATAAACCTTCCTCAAAAGCCTGATGATCATATTTGATACTCATGATTTTTATAATAAATGATGTCTGGATAATCCAGTAAACCTTCTTCAGTCCAGCTGAAGTATTACTAACAATATCAAAGTTATTCTGACGTTTACTTTATATAAACCAGTAAATGTTTAACAGCATAAAGACACGTGAAGCACGAGCTGAAGGACGTTTGTACAGTTATACTAAAAGACTTTTACTTGATAAAAGAGTCTAAACTCTTAATCAGACGACAGAAGGACTGGAGAAGATAGTGCAACAGGTTTATCAGATCATGTTCATCGTTCAGAGGCGTTCGAAACTGTGCATAAAATATGATGCAGTAGGCTTTATAAGGGCAATGTATTCAGTGTGTGTTTTTATTACTTAATATAGATTTTCAAAAGCTCATTTAAGCTAATTTGCTGTGTGTTTGTGTTCTGAGTCTCTCTGTTTTCCCGCCTCAGGGTCACAGAAGGGTCACATGACGCCGGTTCCGCTGCCGCCTCCGCATATGCAGATGCCGGGTCACATGCCTCCTCCCAGCATGCACGGCAACGGAAGCGTTCACGGGAACCACCAGGTGCTGGAGTACCTGGAGAGTCAGGTGCGCGGCATGGATGTGAACAGCCCTCTCCTACAGCCCCAGCTCATGCCCCCCCCCGCGCATCACGTCCCGCAGCACGTGCCCTTCTCCGCCGGGCCTCCCAGCATGCTCTCTGCGCTGGACGACGGGCCCGCCTCACGCAGGCTCCCGCCCGGATCCCGAGGAGCCAGATCACACTCCAGCGGCTCGTCTGTGTACGGCGCCCCACCCCGCGACGATCGCCGCTACCCTCGCCCGCTAATCCCGCGCAGCTACAGCCAGGAGGACGTGCTGGACAGCCGGAGCCGGCCCGGAGGATCCCGCCCTCGCTCCCGATCCCGGGACGATCTGCTGGCCGCGGAGCGCAGAGGCCCGGCCCGGCGGGATGATTACTCTCCTCTGCCCCGCCGCGGCTCCTGGAGCTCCGCTAACGAGGAGGCTAGCAGACGCGGAGGAACACGAGGAGCTCGCGGATCCGGATGGTCCGATCATCATCCTCCCACCTACAGCGAGTACGAGCCCGGGAAGAAGCCGAACATGCGGCTGGATCGCTTCTCTGTAAGAGTCTGAACTACTCCTGAGCGGCTCACGCGTTCACTAACACTGCTTTCTTCTTTAAAACTGTCACTCTCCTGCCGTCATTATTAAACTACATTATTAACATTATTAAACGTCATACAACTAAACTAACACATGTAACGTGAGTCGATCCAAACGTCTGCAATCGCATCAAACATGTAAACAAATGTAAGATGAATTCTTTCTCGTTTAAATCTGAAATGGGAACTATTATGCAGAATTCACTTTTACATGGTGTTAGAAGATAAATGTGTGTGTACAGTGTCCCAAAATGAGCTGTTCGTGTTTTGCATACATGTTGACATCAGTATAACAAGCCCCGCCCATGACAGCTGCCCTATTAGCATAGCTCCTCCCCTGAGTGAGCGTACACACTTGCATGTTTATCTCATTTGGCATCGAGCAGCAGCTCATTTGCATTTAAAGACACACACACACACGAAAACAGTGTGTTATTGCTTCCACCAAAAAAGGGGCATGATGTAATAACTGATCTGTGGGGTATTTTGAGCTGAAACTTCAGACAGATTCTGAAGTCACTTAAGACCTATATTACACCGTGTAAAAGGGTTATAATAGGTCCCGTTCACTGTTTCACAGACGCTCGTTGTTCTTTCACTGAAGATCTTTATCTTCTCAGAACATGATCATCAGGTTTAGCTCATGGAGCTCCAATGCAAATACTGCAACCGTGTTCATTTACCAACTCAACTGATGGGTTTAAGTGAAGTCTTTTCTGTATTCTGCTGCGTTGGGTTCGGACTCCTCACGCCTGCACAGATCCGGATCCTCGTCTGGCGTTCAGTGCTGGTTGTTGATCTTGTTAATCTTCGCTCTCCTCTTCTTCTGCAGGATAAGAGCTCTCGCAGCGGCACCAGCATCGTCATCTGAACACCAGCGTCTGAAGCTTCTCTGCTCATGAACACAGAACTAAGAAAAGTGCTTTTACTGAACCTATTTGAAGGATGTGGTTCTTTGAAGATAGATCATGGAATTTTTTTTTTATATTTTTGTGCAGAGCATTTTATACACTTGAATGTGAATATGAATATCCTCTTCTAGTGAATGTGTGACATTAGCTGTGTATGACATGTGACGTTTCTTGGGTTTGAGGATTTATCTGTGTAAATATCACATTTTTTGTGTCAATATATTTATTAATATATTGAGGTTTTTTAAGCATCCACTGCATTTACAGCAGAGATATAATGCAATATAACAAGAATTGTGTGAGACTCTGAAATGCTCATTATTATGTCCGTAATAAGTTATTCATTGTGATTTGTGATTGCAACTCTCTGATTGCATAAACACAAGGAATAACTTATTCAGACGTGTGTATTTATGTTTTATTGATCGTGCTCAGGTCAAGCTGTTCTTTAGCCTTTTGTAAATAATGTCTTTATGGAACGTGTTACTGCATCTAAATGTCAAAATCTGAATGATTTTTCAGTCTTGCCTTTATATCAACTTTATCTGAATATGTGAATCACTGTTTGCCCTCTGTAATGATGAAAGACTTGTACATGTTCTACTGTTCATATATGAAGGACTGTCTATTAATGTTTTGTTTCTTTACGTCATGCATCTTATGTGGACAGAATTCTTCCTTTTCCACTTGCATAAATAAATCTGCGAAAACAGCAGCATATGCCGAGATGTTTGCGTTTGAGTACATCTGTGTTTCTCAGGCTAATATTAGCCGATCAGTGTCATCACAACAATCCCTTCATGTTTACATCTTTGAACAGTCAGAGCAACAGTATTTGTCTCACATTGCCGAAGTAAGAATGTTTGCAAGGCAGTTTCACAAAGCAAAATAGAAATTAGCAATACAATATTTAAATGCAACATTGTATTGTTTTAGTACTACATCTGTTCCCAGCGTGTACTGTCTGTGTGTGTGCGCGCGGCGCATGCGCAGTGCGCACCAGAGACGCGTCGCGGGGCTGATGGCGTCATGTGACGCAGCGTCGGTTTGCCACGTCGGTCTGTAACTGCGCGAGGAACTTCTGCAACTTTCTGTTTTGCATTTTAAGGCCGTTAATACAAAGCAGCGCGACTGCAACAACACACGCGAATTATCCACATTTGTCTGTCAGAAACTTTACACTGTATCATCAATTCAGAAAGAGAGAGAGAAACAAATGTGGTTTTTACAGAGTTTAGGTGACTGATGTCTGCGCTCATGATTGGTGTGCGGTAAGTGCTGCTTTAATCATTCATTAATGTTAATGTTGTTAATCATGCGTTCAGTCAACACTTACAGTAATGAACATCAGCTCAATATTCATATAGTTCAGTTAGGGTTATAGTTCAGTTACCAGCTGCAGACCAATGGTTCTGTTAATTTCCTGTTTGTGTTTAACGCGTGTATGTGTGTGTGTGTTAGTTAGTACATGTGTTATTTAGTTCGTTGACATTGTTAGTCTGTGGTGACTTTGGTTCAGCCGATTGTCTGGTTATAAGTGAAGTTGATGAGTTAGTCTGGTTGTAACTCAAGTGTAAGTTTAGTCATTATTAGTCTGGTTCAGTGTAGTTGATGTGTTAGTCTGGTTCAGTGTAGTTGATGTGTTAGTCTGGTTCAGTGTAGTTGATGAGTTAGTCTGGTTTAGTGTAGTTGATGAGTTAGTCTGGTTCAGTGTAGTTTATGTGTTAGTCTGGTTCAGTGTAGTTGATGTGTTAGTCTGGTTCATGAGTTAGTCTGGTTCAGTGTAGTTGATGTGTTAGTCTGGTTCAGTGTAGTTGATGAGTTAGTCTGGTTTAGTGTAGTTGATGAGTTAGTCTGGTTTAGTGTAGTTGATGTGTTAGTCTGGTTCAGTGTAGTTGATGAGTTAGTCTGGTTCAGTGTAGTTGATGTGTTAGTCTGGTTCAGTGTAGTTGATGTGTTAGTCTGGTTCAGTGTAGTTGATGAGTTAGTCTGGTTCAGTGTAGTTGATGTGTTAGTCTGGTTCAGTGTAGTTGATGAGTTAGTCTGGTTCAGTGTAGTTGATGAGTTAGTCTGGTTCAGTGTAGTTGATGAGTTAGTCTGGTTCAGTGTAGTTGATGAGTTAGTCTGGTTCAGTGTAGTTGATGAGTTAGTCTGGTTCAGTGTAGTTGATTAATTAGTCTGGTTTAGTGTAGTTGATTAATTAGTCTGGTTCAGTGTAGTTGATGAGTTAGTCTGGTTTAGTGTAGTTGATTAGTTAGTCTGGTTTAGTGTAGTTGATGAGTTAGTCTGGTTTAGTGTAGTTGATGTGTTAGTCTGGTTTAGTGTAGTTGATGAGTTAGTCTGGTTCAGTGTAGTTGATGTGTTAGTCTGGTTCAGTGTAGTTGATGAGTTAGTCTGGTTCAGTGTAGTTGATGAGTTAGTCTGGTTCAGTGTAGTTGATGAGTTAGTCTGGTTCAGTGTAGTTGATGAGTTAGTCTGGTTTAGTGTAGTTGATTAATTAGTCTGGTTTAGTGTAGTTGATTAATTAGTCTGGTTTAGTGTAGTTGGTGAGTTAGTCTGGTTCAGTGTAGTTGATGTGTTAGTCTGGTTCAGTGTAGTTGATGAGTTAGTCTGGTTCAGTGTAGTTGATGTGTTAGTCTGGTTCAGTGTAGTTGATGTGTTAGTCTGGTTCAGTGTAGTTGATGAGTTAGTCTGGTTCAGTGTAGTTGATGAGTTAGTCTGGTTCAGTGTAGTTGATTAATTAGTCTGGTTCAGTGTAGTTGATTAATTAGTCTGGTTCAGTGTAGTTGATGAGTTAGTCTGGTTTAGTGTAGTTGATGAGTTAGTCTGGTTCAGTGTAGTTGATGTGTTAGTCTGGTTCAGTGTAGTTGATGAGTTAGTCTGGTTCAGTGTAGTTGATGAGTTAGTCTGGTTCAGTGTAGTTGATGTGTTAGTCTGGTTCAGTGTAGTTGATGAGTTAGTCTGGTTCAGTGTAGTTGATTAGTTAGTCTGGTTTAGTGTAGTTGATGTGTTAGTCTGGTTCAGTGTAGTTGATGTGTTAGTCTGGTTCAGTGTAGTTGATGTGTTAGTCTGGTTTAGTGTAGTTGATGAGTTAGTCTGGTTCAGTGTAGTTGATTAATTAGTCTGGTTTAGTGTAGTTGATGAGTTAGTCTGGTTCAGTGTAGTTGATTAATTAGTCTGGTTTAGTGTAGTTGATTAATTAGTCTGGTTTAGTGTAGTTGATTAATTAGTCTGGTTTAGTGTAGTTGATGAGTTAGTCTGGTTCAGTGTAGTTGATGAGTTAGTCTGGTTCAGTGTAGTTGATGAGTTAGTCTGGTTCAGTGTAGTTGATGAGTTAGTCTGGTTTAGTGTAGTTGATTAATTAGTCTGGTTTAGTGTAGTTGATTAATTAGTCTAGTTTAGTGTAGTTGATTAATTAGTCTGGTTCAGTGTAGTTGATGAGTTAGTCTGGTTCAGTGTAGTTGATGAGTTAGTCTGGTTCAGTGTAGTTGATGAGTTAGTCTGGTTTAGTGTAGTTGATTAATTAGTCTGGTTTAGTGTAGTTGATTAATTAGTCTGGTTTAGTGTAGTTGATTGATTAGTCTGGTTTAGTGTAGTTGGTGAGTTAGTCTGGTTCAGTGTAGTTGATGAGTTAGTCTGGTTTAGTGTAGTTGATTAATTAGTCTGGTTTAGTGTAGTTGATTAATTAGTCTGGTTTAGTGTAGTTGGTGAGTTAGTCTGGTTCAGTGTAGTTGATGAGTTAGTCTGGTTTAGTGTAGTTGATTAATTAGTCTGGTTTAGTGTAGTTGATTAATTAGTCTGGTTTAGTGTAGTTGATGACTTAGTCTGGTTCAGTGTAGTTGATGACTTAGTCTGGTTTAGTGTAGTTGATGAGTTAGTCTGGTTGTAGTGGTAGGTTAGCTGTTAGTCTGGTCTTGGTAATCTGTGCATCATAAGGTGATCGGCAGGTTTTTGTGTTCATGCTTCAGGAGAGTTTAATGCTGTTTTCTTCTTAATAACTTCAGCTTCATTGCACTTTAACTTCCTCTTTTGGTCCAACGGTTTTAACAGAAAAACAGCAGTGTGTCTGTTAACATGTGATGATACAGCATGTTTTGCCCAGCTGCTGCGTTTGTTAGCAGGTCAGTTACCCTGTATCTGAGTAGTTCTGACCGGACCCCTGGCTTGTGTTTGTCCTGCAGTGGCCGAGACGTGACGGAGCCGCAGGGAGCCGCTGGTGGAGACGCGAGGACGGGGCCGCAGGGAGACGCTGGAGGTCATGCCCGGGGGCCGCAGGGGTCCCAGTAGACAGCAGCTGAGCCGCTGCGCTCTGCCGTCGCTGCAGACGCTGGTGGGCGGCGGCCTCAGCAATGGGGCGGGGCTTCGGTGCAGGTGAGGCGCTGATGCTTCTGACGTTCTTCACCACTAAATTACGGATGTAATATAGATGATGTACAAGATGCAGTATAAATCTATGGTGTCCCCAGAATGTGTGTGTGAACTTTCAGCTGGAAATACCAGATCATTTATTATAGCTCGTAAAATTTGCCCCTTTTTGGGTGTGTCGCTTTAGATGCAAATGAGCTTTAGCTCCGCCTCCGTTCAGAAGAGGGCGGAGCCTTTACATGAGCTTCAGAGACTCCGGCAATAACAACACAGGCCGATCTCACTGATCCAGAGTCAGGAGTAACAGCAGCGAGTGCAGCCTTACGGAGAGACTCAGGCCGTGTTCCTTTAACACATCCAGTAGCTTTTTAAAGAACCAAAAACATAAATATGATATTATGTGGATGACAATCATAGTGAAATAAATGTGTGTATATATATGAAGACGGAGGTGCCTCACTCACAAACCCGACTCTGTGTTTCTATATGAACTGCACTAAAACACTCAGAAGATGCAGATGCAGTTATTTAGCCAAATGGTGACCGGCGTTAGTTTTCCACACTGATGCATGCCGCGTCGAGACCTCACCGTAACTAGCGATCCGCTGGAAACAGCTTCTTCATCGTGACCGTGTTAATGTCTAATAGTCCACAATGAGCACTAGACATGTGCCGGTATTCGGTAATGCGATAAATCGCGGTAATGAATATGCACGATATTGTTATCGCGGGCACTTCAAAATACCGTGAAAAATAATAGATTCGAATTTAGACTTTTAGAACGCGCATTAGCTTATTTTCCATCAACCGCTTAAACACTGCGTATATGCTGCGCAAAACACGTGCGCACTCTGATGTAAACAATCCCCACATGTACAAGCACTGTGTGCATGCGGCGGCAGTGCGCACTCTAGTCTAATGTAAACAATCCTCACATGGAGAAGAAGCACGGCGGAAGGAGGAACGCTGCCGACGATTTACCCCCCGCAGGGCTGCCAACTCTCACGCATTCAGCTTGAGACTCAAGCGCCTTTCAGACAGGACGCGGAATACGCGCGGGGACGTTTTGTTGCTGCGTCGACCAAAGCACGCCGGAGTCAAAGTTCAAAGTAGTTAAACTTTTTATTTGCAAAATAGCAAATCGCGCTTCGCGTCCTGTCTGAAAGGCGCTTTACGCACTGACAGACTAGACAGAGCTGGTTACTTTTGATATGAACAAAAAAATAAATAAATCAGCTCTTAGGTTCTGTCCATTGTGACAGATCGCTGCGCCTCAGTTCAAGTAAACCGATCATCTATTACTTTTTATTAAAAGACACAGTACAACTTACCGTAAGGTATATGCCTCATACATAATGTCGATCAATCAGTGTTTTTCAAACACGGAAAGAGGTCAATAAAACTGCAGGAGAACAGAACTTATGTCACAGAACGTTACATTTACCTCAGGAAAGCCATTTAATGACCAGCACATTAGTTGACTAGAAAAAATAGCGAGGAGTATTTTGCTAAATATGTGCACTATATTACATATTTATTATATGTTTACTTGTCATTACATAATTGTTATTATAATGAAAACCGCATTATATTTAATTTCTCTCTGTGTGTTTACAGCATTATGTGAGATATATTTTTTTCTTGAGAAAAATTAACATGCAGACTGTGGCCTACCTAATATTTATCCAAATGAGTCAATATTGAATTAAGATTAAAATCAAATCCTTAACCAGGTTTTTTTTTCCTGGTTAAATAAAGGATAAAAAATAATAATAATAAAAAAAAAATCCAAGAATTTAATTGAATAATACAAACAGTAGCCTACCAGTCATTGTACCATGTAAACATTGTAACATGTTGTCACTAAATCAAATTCTGTTTAGTTACCATATGTTTTGAAAATCACATTGTTGTGATGCAAGTTTTTTTTTTTTTTATACCCACAATCCATCTGTTTCTCTTGAGCAATTAAAATATCGTGAGAATACCGTATACCGTGATAAAAGCTCAATCAATTAATCGCAGCATGAAAATTTGATACCGGCACATGCCTAGTGAGCACTTTATATCTAGCTTACATTCAGTGACGATATAAATATAAATAAACGGCTTCTTAAGCGGTTTCATAATGTCGTGCACACAGGTGGAGTGTGTGTTTGTGTGACGCGATGAAGCCGTACTACTGTGTGTTTGTTGTTGAGCTAGCTCTAGTTATTAATAATACCCAGAGTTCACCTGTCACACCTGCGATCTGTCGGCGGGCGGATTCGGATCTGCCGGAAACATGCGCTTCACTCTGAACTGCCAGTTTTATATAATATTACAGCCTGATCTAATGACCTAATTCAAGTTCTTTATTAGTAACCCATGTATGTGACTTCAAGAGTCAAGCTTTACAGTAATAAACAGGAGAATAACAGATTCAGTGATGCAAACTTCATCAGATACGACACACACACACACACACACACTCCGCTCTACAGAAGATCATAGTCATTACTCGGATCCGGTTAGTTTCTCCAACAGTGTCAGTGCCGTCAGATCAGTAATATTGCTGAATATTAAAGGGCTCATCGGATGGAAAAATTCACTTTTATATGGTGTTTGCAGTGTGTGTGACACAACCCCCACACAATGAAGAAAATCCATTCACTCCTTTTATCCTCAAAAAGCCTAAACACTCTCAATAATCAGGCCGTTTGGATTTCCTGACACTATGATGTCATATTGCTCATGCTCCGCCCACGACCGCTGACGGACTGTCCCGTATTAGCATATTTCCTGTATTAGCATATTTCCTGTATTAGCATATTTCCCGTATTAGCATATTTCCTGTATTAGCATATTTCTGCCCTCAGCCATTTGTATACTGTCCACCAAGGCATCACTTTACGAGTCTTGTGTCGATGCCCCACGGGTGAGCAGTTGCTCATTATCATTTAAAGAGACATGCACCTCATTATCATTTAAAGAGACATGGACCTCATTATCATTTAAAGAGACATGCACCTCATTATCATTTAAAGAGACATGCACCTCATTATCATTTAAAGAG